GCCAGGCATGGTGATGCATACTTGTAGTGCCAGTTACTTGGAAGGCTGAGGCATTAGGATCACTTGAGCCCAGCAGGTCAAGGCTACAGTGGCCATGAGTGTGCCACTGCACTCTGGCCTGGGCGACAGTATAAGACTTGACTCAAATCGGGCTCGGTGACTCAGCCTGTAATCCTGCGCCTTTGGGAGGCTGAGGTGAGTGGATTGCCTGAGCCCGCGGGTTCGAGACCCTCCTGGGCAGCGAGACCTCATCTCTACAATAAATCAAAAATTAGCCAGGCGTGGTAGCACATGCCTGTAATTCTGGCGGCTTGGAAGGCTGAGGAGGAAGGATCGCCGGAGCCCAGCAGGTGACTGGGAGCGGCCACTGCACTCCAGTCTGGGCGACAGAGTGAGACTCCAACTCAAAAAAAAAAAAAAAAAAAAAGACCCGACTCAAAAAAAAAAAAAAGAAAAGCTCACAGTTAACATTATATTCAATGGTGGAAAACTAAAAGCTTTTCATCTAAAGACAGGAACAAGATAATGGTCCCTGCTCTCTCCACTTGTATCTAACATGATACTGGAAATCTTAACCAGAAAAATAATAGGAAAATAAATTAAAGTCATCCTAATTGAAAAGGAAGAAGTAAAATTATCTGTCTATAGATGACATGATCTTATATATAAAAATCTCTATCCAGAAACTTCCTCCTGTTGCTAAAAATACTACTACTACCACTACTACTACTACTAATAATAATAACAAAGAAAGAAATCTCTAAAGACTCCACCAAAAATAGCTAATAAACAAATTTCATAGATTTGCAGAATACAAAATCAACAGTAGCATTTTAATATGCTAAAAACAAACTCTGAGTAGAAAATCAAGAAAACAATCCCATTTACAATAAATCCAAAAATAAAATACTTATAAATAAACTTAACTAAGTAGGTAAAAGACTTGTATACTAAAAACTATAAAGTGTTTATGAAAGAAATTAAAGAAGACACAAATCAAAGGACATCTGATATTCATGGACTGGAACAATTAGCATTTTAAATTTCAATACTACCAAAGCAATCTACAGATTCATTGCAATTTCTGTCAAAGTCCCAATGACAATTTTTACAGAAATTAAAAAAATTTTTTTACAATTCATATGGAACCACAAAAGACCACTAACAGTGAAATCAATCTCGAGAAGGGAGAACAGTGCTGGAGATATCACATTTTCTGATTTCAAAATTGACTGCAAAGCTACAGTAGTCAAAATAGTATGATACTGGCATAAAGACAGGCATATAGAACAGTGATGCAAAATAGAGAGCCCAAAAATATATCCACAAGTATATGGTCAAGAGCTCTTTGATAATGATGCCAAAGATACATGATGGGAATAGGATAGTCTTTTCAACAAATGGTGCTGAGAAAACTGAATGTCCATATACAAAAGAATTAAATTGGACCCTTATCTTACACCATTCACAAATATCAAGTGAAAAAGAAATAAAGACTTAAACAGGTCCTGAAACTGTAAACCTTTAGAGAAAACATAGGGGAAAACTTCATGACACTGCAAAGTAAGGGGAACAATCAGCAAAGTGAAAAGACAACATACAGAATGGGAGAAAATATTTTCAGAGCATGCTTCTGAAAAGAGGGTAATCTTCAAAATTATAAGAAACCCCTCTAACTCAATAGCAAAAAATTGTTGACCTGATTATAAAAATGGGGCTTGAAAAGACATTCCTCCCCAGAAGACATAGACATAGCCAATAAATATATTAATAAATGTCACTAATCATCAGGGAAATGAAAATTAAAACCACAATGAGCTATCACCTAACACTTCAGGAGGCAATAGCCAAAAACGAAAACAAAAATACATAGCAAGTGTTGTCAAGAATGTCAAGAAATTGAGAAATTGACATTCTTGTATACTGTTGATAGAAATGCAATATAGTGCAGCTGCTATGGTAAATATTATGAAGGTTTCTCAAAAAAAACAAAATAGAACTTCAATGTGATCCAGTAATCCCATTTGTGGATATTTATCCCCCCCATTAAAATTAAGATAACAAAGAGATATTAGTACTCTCATGTTCATTGCAGCATTATCAACAGTATACAAGATGTGGAAACAACCTAAATGCCCATCAACAGATTGATGGATAAAGAAAATACAGTGGATACATGCAATAAAATACTATTCAGTCTTTAAAAAATTAGGACATTCTTCAATATGAACAACACAGATAAATCTAGAGGACATTATGCTAAATGAAATAAGCCAATTACAAGAAGACAAATATTTTATGATTACACTTATATGAGGTATATAAAATAGTCAAATTCATAGTATTAAAGAGTAGAATGGTGGTTGCTATGGACTGGGGGAATAGAAAATGAAGAGTTACTAATTAACAGGCATATAGTTTTATTTGAACGAGATAAATGAGCTGTAGAACTCTTCTATACTACCTTTTACCTATAGTCAACAATCATGTACACTTAGTATTTTGTGGCTCTTATAAGTTTTTTTCACAATAAAATGAAAATTTTAAAAATAGCACTTAACCAAAGGATATACTATTTTTATTAAAATTTATTATTGTTTTTACTTTCAAATGGTGGTTTATTGAACAAGAAAAAGCAGAATGCAGTGACAATTATCTAATTATGACTACTAATTAAAATTAGCAGTTTTTCTTTCATTGCTATTAGCCATGTCTAAATGGAAAAAATATGAAAGATTTTCTTATACAGATCATTTTCAACTTACTATATAGTTTTTAACAGTAAAAACATCCTCTCAGAACAGACCTCCTTTTGTGTAAAAAGAAGTTGATAATACAGATATTATACAAATATAGATATAAATAATAATAATATAAATATTATTAGATAGACTAAATAAAATAAAATGTGTAGCCTGGAACATAGTATTACACCAAAATGTGTTTTTCTGCCTCTGATGTCTCTTATCCAGTGTCTAGGGTTTTGGACTGGCCAAGCCATTTATTCATTTGCATCTGTGTCTTATACAATTTAGCATCAGCCAAATAGCAGCTACTGGTTAACAAATATATAGACTTTTACTGATAACCATAGTATGTGGCACACTCAAGTACTTTTGCTGCTACATTTTTTTTTCTATTTCTATATTTTGTATGCCTTTTCCTCTTGAAACCATTGATAATTGGAGACTGGTTCTGTAGGCCATAACAACTCAACTCAACTCAACAGGCTCTATCCCTGTATTATCTTTGGTGTATTAATAGCTTAAAATTTTTTCTTAGAAAGCAAGCTGTTACCATCATGCCTAATAATAAGAAAGTGTACATTGATTGGTAAGTAGATATTTTATTGGTTTCAGTAGATATTTTATTGCTTTATCTTGCAAGTTTTTATTCAGTCTTCTTTTGGCCAAAGTCGTCCAATAATGCATTGTTGTGCTGTTACCTATAATATTTGGAGGGAAGACTTGCTCTTTTTTTAGCTGTTGATTGAGAGAAATTCAGAATCCCTTAATTTTCTTATTGAAGTTAATAAAGATGGAGGCATCTCTGTAATCTAATGTTATATCTACCAGAATTGAGCACATTCTTCAAAATGTGGTGGCAATGTTTTCCTTAGTGAGTTCTGGCACATCCTTTGGCAAGTTGGTCATAAACAGAGCACAGAAAAGAATGTATCACCAACCACTGGGAAGACTTTTGTTGGTACTTTCTACAGGGAGTCCAAGCTGAGATGGAAAACAAAAGAAAGATGTGAAGTTCTTTAATGGTTTATTCTATGTCTATGTTCCTTCTGTTTCTTTTTAAAAAATCAAGTGAACAAAATGCTTTCTAATGCCAAAAATAAAAGACTTCTGTTAGCAAAGTTAAAGTGACTTTTCTTTAAATATGTTATTTGTAGAAAAAAAAAGAATAATATTTAGCCTTTTCTGGGAAGTGTGAATTTTGTATGATTCTTCTTACAATTAGACATTGGGTATAATGCCATAATATCCTGATTGTAGCACTTCTTAGGTGCTTAAACTGAGATTAAGGTCATCTTACTGGTAGTCATACAGATACTTCCTCTTGTTTTCCAAATACTCCTCTAACATGGCTGTGTTTAGTCATCAAAGTCCTAAATTTTTAGAAATTATTGTTTCTCTTTGTTATGCAGAGAAGGCAGCTTTTATTTATTAGCCACTCAAATGATAAATGAGAAAGTTAATAATAGATTAATGAATGATAAAAAAGAGAATTAATTTTTAAGCTTTATTTTAAGTATTGTAGCATTCTTTTGGAGAAACATTTTAAGAAGTCAGAAAACTTAAAGAAATCATTTTTAGTAAGAAAAACTGCCATGGCAAAGTAGACACAGAAATTTACAATTTATGAATATCTAAACCTTATTTAGTTCACTAACAATTTCCCACTGTAATATTGCTTATGTTCAAGTCAAATTCAAATTTTTGTATATTTTAGTAGTTATTTTTATAAACATAAGGAAAAAGAATTTGTCACTTATGTTAGATTATCTTTTTATCACCTATATTTATAATCTTCTAAGTTTCAAAATTTGGAGAGTTGCTTGAAAAAATTAGGGGAGCATGCTTCTGTTTTATCAAAATTTGTCTCTTCAACCAATGCTTTCTCGTCATTCTTGAGTTTACCAATTATAAGAGCAAAATCTTTGGATACGAAAGATATTAATATTGGTGAAAATATAAAGTGTCTTGTTTTTATTGGTTTGTGAAGGTTGTATGTTACTATTTTTATTTAAGTGTAGTTTCAAAAATGGAAACATTAATTATATTCAAAACTATCTTTGAATAAAAGACATTATTTGTTCAGTCAACAATATTTTTGAGTAGTATTACTATATAATATTATTTTCTTTCAGGTAAAATCTAATGAACACAACCATCTTTTTAAAAGTTAACTATAATAAAGCAACATCTGTCTTTATTTTCAATACTATGAAGCTTTTAATTAACAGAAACCACCATGGATTGCTTCTTTAGAATACCACTAAATGTTAGAGACATCGTGTACTGTACAGGAGTGTCACTACTGGATGAGGATGTCTGGGAATTCATATGGATGAAATTCCACTCCACCACAGCAGTTTCTGAGAAGAAAATATTATTAGAAGCCTTAACTTGCAGTGATGACAGAAATTTATTAAACAGGTAGGTAAATTGATTTTCTAAGTTTGTGTAATGAAAATATTCTCTGTTAAACTGCTCTCAAGTTGCTTTTTGTTCCTTGAATATATGTTACTTACTCTAAAGTATATTTTCCTAAATATAATGAAAGTTGCCACTTTAGCATGACTAAAACAACTTGGCTTCAGAGATTATATCATTTTATGACAAATTATTTTATACAACTTATATATGTGTAAGGAAGTATTTCATTATAATAGGCAGTGTTTACCGTAAAGAATTTCAAAGGAGAATTTGCATCATCAAACCAGAATTATGATTTTTCCATCCACAAGATTTTGTTAGTCTAATTAATATATTTAATTAAAATACCATGAGTTTGATCATCTCTAATTTATAAACAAAAATCTGTTCTATTGATAAATTTGTATTAGTAAAGCTTGCATTGGACTATTCTTTTGAAGAATTTGACAAACTATGTCATGTAATTTTAGTAAGATTATAAAAATGTTTAAGTTATTGACTAAAACTTTCCCCACCGTTCTATCCTAATAGGCTTCTAAATCTGTCACTGAATTCTGAGGTGGTGCTGGATCAAGATGCGATTGATGTCATAATCCATGTAGCTCGAAATCCACATGGCCGAGACCTTGCCTGGAAGTTTTTCAGAGATAAATGGAAAATATTAAATACCAGGTAGAAATAATAATTAAGTCATTCTTACTTGCATGAGTAAATTATAGCTGACATATGAGAAATAAAGGCCTAAGTTTTGTGTTGATTCGTGCATTAGGATTAGATTTTTAAATATTCAAGAAAGATGGGTGTTGCCACTCCTGTGAAACTCAAAATTATTTTTTAAATTCTGTAACATTGTTTATTCATTAAAGATTGATTACCTTAGTTAATTATATGTGGAAACATGGAGAATACCTAAGATTTAGTCACGCAACTTTTTTTGAGAATCTATCAAACCAGCCAAAGTTGAAGAAATCACATCATAAATCTTTTATATCTTGAAGTGATATAGAAGAAATGATTTATAAATCTGGTAAAATGGTATTATAACAAGAAAACCTTAATTACTTTTGTAGCATTGTTTTAAATGTTCTTTAAATGTAAACATCTTAAAACACCTGAAATAAAACCATGAGGCAGAGAAGGAACATTTATCATTTGACTCACTATATGATTCCAGTTGCAATAAAATTCATTCCCAGGACAACTTGTTTCATGGTGAGAATTCTTTAGCCTCAACTCCAGAAAATATTTCATTATGCATTTAAATATATTATAATATATGTTAATTTATTACTCTGACAATCTCTATGGTCTTTTAAAATTAAATTTATTACAGAGCATGTAAATGCTGCATGTTTTTCTCTCAAACTTAAATGTTCCCAGACAGTAAGCAGACCTACAGTTCTGTCTCTTAAAAGCTGATATATAGACTTCATTATTTCTAAGCACACCTTTATCAGTTGCCCTGGTATAATGAGTTTAATTGGAATGAATGTATAAAATTAAAACACATTTCTATCCACAGATATTTCATTGTCAGAAAGCACAGATATTCCTGTAAGGCACATTGACTTTTTAAATATTTTTAGTTCAGAACTTGGAATAATTGCTTTGTTGTTATGCATATAATGAATGGTCAGACAGTTAAACAAAGTTAATGTATATAAATATTCACTTAAAAGAGTATCAAATATCTAAAAATACACAGCTTCTTTAAGACATTTTGTGGATCAGAGAGCAATGCATGTATAGGAATATATAGTTTGTTGCCTAGAAAAAAAAATTCAATTTCTGATATACCTATTTTTTCCCACTGAGTCCATGATCTCCATCCAAAAGGTTGAGGTTTCAGAGTATCTACAAATATAGTAGTGTTTATCTTGACAAATAAGAGCATCTTCTTCATCTACTCCTGCTCCCCTGTCAATACTCCAATGTTGGAGTTCAAAGCACTATTTTCTTCCCACTCTACAGGTTCTTCCTGATTTAATTGCCCTCTACTCTCACAGTTTCAATCACTCCCAAAACTCTGTCTCTAACTCAGACATTTCACCTAAGCTTCACCCTGTGATAGACAGCTGCCCTTTGAGGTCCAGTTTTGTAGTGTGCCTGCAAAACTAAATCCATGATTTCCCTCCTTTGTCCTCCTTTTCTCAGTAAATGTGATAGCCATCTACCAGTTAGTCAAACCAAACACCTGAAAAGTCTACATGGGCTTCCCCCTTTCCCTTGTCATATGTAACAGTCAGGCTTGAGGTTGTGTCAATTTACGATTCCTAGTTTTGTGAATTCTTTTTTCCTTCTACCACTTCCCTAGTGCAAGTTCTTATCTTTTATCTTTTACCTTCTATCTCCTTGCCTAGGTAATTATATTCAACACCGTTCATACACACATTAGCCTCTTACCTTTGTCCCAAGAATCTTTCTGCAAAGCAAATGTGATATTTCCCTGCTCTACAACTTTTAGCGATTCTGTACCACATAATCTAAGCTCCTTATTGTGTTCTCTGCATACATCTTCAGCCTCTTGTTTTTCTATCCCCAGACTTACAATGTATGCCTTCTTAATGTCAAACTGCTTGTAGTTGTCTGCACACACCCACCACGTCATTTCACACCTCCTTGCCTTTGTTTATGTTGGCCCTCTGCCTAAAGTGACTTACTTCCCTGCTGCTCAGAGCTACTTCACACTCAATCTAGATGCCATCATCTCCCAAAAGTCATTCCTAAGACTCCACAGCTAAAGGGAGCACTGTGTATGATCTTATCATCATCGCATTTAACCACATTAAATGAAAATTATCTGTTTACACGTCCAGCTCTTCAACTAGATAGTATAATACTATCAAGGAAGAGATTGTGCCTCATTATTTTCACATGACAGAATAAGTAAAAACTATTGACAGTTTCTTTAAGAAAGAATGTTTTTGAATAGACCACTTTTGTAACCACATGGCGATTGCTAATGATCACTTTTATTATAGAATGCCTATTTGTTGGCTTTTACTTAACTAACTTTTTCTTCTACAGAATAGTTACAAATCATAGTAGTCATATAGTCCCCTCGTTTTATAAATGAGAAAACAAAATTCTCCAGAAGGTAAATTACTAAAGATTCTACAAGTTAGTGAGACATTATAAAAATATCTTATAATGGTAGCTGGATCTTTGCTTCTAAAAACTCAGAGTCCTATTTTTAGTGTACTTTAGCTATAAGAGTATGATAACCTATGATAGGTATCATTTGCATAACAGGGACAAATAAATAAAATGAGAATTCTTTCCAGCTCACTAACACAAATTGTTCTTTGTAGTCACAACAAGTCCAAATAAACAACTAGATATTTTATTTTACTAGTCATATGAATAAAAGCTAATGTTATGGGAAACAGTTTTGAAAAATTTGGCTCAGTTTCTAAAAATGAAATAAGAAAATGTTAATGTCAGTGATAACTGACAAGACCCAGGGACCTATGTGACATACTGATGAGGCCCAAGTTGGTTTTTCAATTTCTCTTTCCTTTGTTGGTATCATTTTCCATTCCAGTGGGGCAGTTTGCTTTATAGTTGTAAGTTTTAAAATACAATTTTTTTCTCAGACCTTGGCTTGGATACTAGTCATTCCTAACTCCAATTTTAGAGGGGCCCTTTTAAAAAATTTACAGCAGCTTAGATTTCTCTGAAAGACTGTGAGCCATATCAGTGGAATCTGATGATATCTGATCTCCATACCTCTTTGTACCTCCCTAGTTCCCTGGAGAAGTGGCCTTGAATGCTCAGAGATCTGGCAATGTTAGAAGACACTGGTCAAATGGCACCTGTGAGAAGGATTTCAAAAAAATCTTTATAATCAATATTTTAAAATTACTATCTGTGCTAACATTAAGATGTTTTTATCTTTTGAGGTATGGTGAAGCATTATTTATGAATTCCAAACTTATCAGTGGAGTTACAGAATTTCTAAATACTGAAGGTGAACTCAAAGAGGTAAATATTTTAAGATGGGTTCTAATTATTTTCTTTTATAAACATATGAAATTATACAGTTACTTAAACCCTTTCTTTGCATCAGATTTACATCCATTTATTTTACATATATACACACATGTTGAAGACTATACTCAATTTATTATTTTCAAAGGTATTTCTAGCATATTAAACATTGAATACTGCATAAATGTTTAAGTGCAAGAGTTTTCAAACCCAAAGACCCAAAATCCATTTCAGACATCGTTGATCCAATCAGCTACTCCTCAAATGATTCTATGAACCCAGTTTAGGATACATTAAAAACAAAACTGTCGATGACTCAGTATTAGTGTAGAACTAAGGTTGGTGTTGAGGTACAGAACAAGAGTTTCCCTGCTTCTTGGTTAGTCCTAAACAAACAGTGGATAATTGAACATAGTAATAATGCGCCATAATTTTTATGCGTGGAAAGAGCATATCTGGCAACACATATTGATATTGATAGCTTATTTTAAAACTCTGCTAGGTACAATCCCTAATAGATTTCATAAATGAAAATAAACTTGATTTCGTTTTCTAAGGAATAGTATCCAGGTTGTAGAGTATCGAAGACTTTCTTTATATGTTATTTATGATTTATTTCTCTGGAAATTTAAACTGTTTGTTTTGTTTTGTTTTGTTTTGCCATTAAGTCATATCACTAATATAGAGTAGTGAGAAATAGGGAGGGGCAACTAGGTAGAAAAAATAAGAAAATATAGATTCTTTTAATTGATTACAATGAGCTGAGTTTCAAACATCGATTGCCTTTTATTTTGCTTCTCTTCTGCATTATAAAATATAGATGACATCGGCACTGAGCATCATGGTTTCCTCACTTTTCACTGAGAGAATGCCTGTTGCTGTGACCCAGAGTTAATCATGTTGAGCAGCATTTCCCTGGAAGTTTCAACCCTGACACCATCCTGTATATCTTCTAATATTTCCCAGTTTCCTATTATCATCCTATATGCACTAACTTGGATTCTTTCACACCATGAGCTAAGCTGGGCAAAGTCTCTGATTGTAATGATTGAAATTCAGTTTTTATCCCTGCTATGCATGTTCCCAACCCTGAAGGATTTAGTTTTAAAAGCACCAGAACATTTTTTACTATATTTTTTTTAATCAAAGAAACTAAATGGAAAGGACTTTATTTATATCCATAGGAAATAGAGCAATTGAAGCAACGAGTGCTTCCAATTTTCTCCGTATTTAAATGAAGTACATTTAATTTCATGATTTTACATTCAATAATCTGGGAATGAAAGACTCAGTCACAACCTATGTAGCCATTGAAATGAGCACACAGGTGAAAGAATTCTCTCCCTTTCCCTCTCCTCTTCCCTCTTTTCTGCTCCCATCATTGTCCCTTCTTCTCTCTTCTTCTTATCTCCTCTCCTTCCTACCTCTATCATATCCTTTCTTTCTTTTTCCATCTTCCCTCTTTCCTCTAACTCTACCTGCCTTTCATATTTTTCTTGATCTACTAATACCCAGACCATGAAAAAAATCTTTTAAATAGACATTTAATTGATTTTATTACATACTGATTATTTTGTTTTATGCATTTCACTGATCTATTTAATTTTTTGCACTTTATATAATTGCCATTTTAGATGTTTCAGGGTGCCCTTATCATGAAAGGTGTCATTTCAAAACTGAAACTGAATGGTGGCTTTTATTCCAGTATCTACAAAATAACTCACTTCACAATGCAGGTTCTCAATGGAATGAGTGATGAATTCCTTCACTACAGAGTTACTTACTCTGACTTTGCAGTTTAACAACTGCTGCCTGAGGCTTCTTAATGCTTTTTCAACCAACGATCATCTGTAGGATTGGGGAACACTATTTAGGGATGGGTTGGAGGTGTTGGTTTGTGTTGACAATAACTCTTTATTCTTAAATTGAAGGGGCTGAGAATAATTCAGTCTTATTCTCACGTAACACATGAGCCTCATAAGCAGAAAATCCAATGGCATATTCTTATTTCTAGGGGCTTATAGATCCAAAGAGAATCAGCATCTTTATGAATCCTGACAACTAATTCAAGATTTCAATAATCTCCATTGGCTTTAAATGTTTTCAGTAGAGAAACTTACTTTGTTTCATGGTCCCCTCCTCAAAACTGCATTCTAGTACCTGAAACTAGTTTCCTTTTTAATTGCATTGCACTAACAATTTGAACAGTATTTCTCCATGAGGCAGTCTATCATTGCTTTAATTTTAAATAAATGGAGACACAATCTTCTGAAACCTCTGAGGTCCTGGTCATTTTCCCACACTAATAGTGTTCATTAGCCAATCCTTTCACACACCTGTTTTCCTGCCTCTTAACTCTAACATACGACACTGTAAAGGAATATAGATTCTGTGCATCACAGACATCCCATTTACAGTTTTATTATTGGAGATATGAACCTCATAATAGTACGATAACTAATTCTATTCATTAATATAGTTACTACGAGTATATTATGTTTTGCAGTTTACTCCAAAAAATGTATCTTATGTCGTAAGAAATAAGATAAATAAAAAATTGAAAACCTAGAAATAAGAGGGGTTTTTAATGCTAAAATATTTTCATAAAAAGTAATTAATACACATGCCTAGAAATTTTATGCTAAGAAGATCAGAGACCACAAATGTCTTTGACCTCTTACTAAATGTTGTTTTAGAAAAGTGCCTTAACTTGTAACATTTTAAAATAAAAGCATAATATGTGATAACTATTTAGGGAATACAATTCAACAAAACAAAACAAACAGAAAAAAAAAACCTAATGGCAGCAGAAAACCTAGCAAAGAGCTGAAGAAATAAACAAACTGCATTGTTAAATATCTTTTACCTACCACTCTAAAGTGAGGCAGGGGTCTGTAAGGCATTGTGAGCATGGTTTAGAACCAGTTAGATGGCTGCTGTGACTGCATGTTTGCCACCAGAGATATGAAGGATTATGGGACGTGAGACCAATTTATAGCAACTGGGGAAAGTAGGCCAGTGTTCTCATGAATAAACTCCTCTTAAGATGCATATGAGGCACCTCAGGCTCTCTGTACCATGAGGGAAGTATTTACTGCACTTAAATAGTGATTTAATAAATGAATCTCTAGAGACCCACCAATTCACATTTTCTATTGAGATTCTCTTTCCGAATAATCTGACCTGCTATCCTTGTGTCAATAACAGGTTCCTATTCAAATCCATAGTTTGTCTTTAAGGAGGACTTAAGAGTTTTACTTCATATGTTCAGACTGGCTTGCCATTTTATGAGGACACCAAGAGCATGCTCCATAGGGTTGAAGTTGCCAAAGGGTCATTTATTACTATCTGATGTATTCAGTGACTACCTTGGAAAATAAATGTAATAATAAAGAACATATTTTAAAGGGGGTAAATGTAATTTTTTCTGATGGACATATAATATGTAAATAATGCCATTATAATGTCATATATCCATAATAAATTAAAACACAAAATTTAAAACAAATCAGACTGTATTATGTATTGCTTTAAGGATATAGACTGAGCCGGGCTCGGTGGCTCAGCCTGTAATCCCATGCTTTGGGAGGCTGAGGTGGGCGGATTGCGGATTGCCTGAGCCCGCGGGTTCGAGACCCGCCTGGGCAACTTGGCGAGACCTCATCTCTACAACAAATAAAAAAAAATTAGCTGGGCGTGGTAGCGCACGCCTGTAGTTCCAGCTAACTGGAAGTCTGAGGTGGAAGGATCGCCGGAGCCCAGCACGTCGAGGCTGCAGTGGCTGGGAGCAGCCACTGCACTCCAGTCTGGGCGACAGAGTGAGACTCCAACTCAAAAAAAAAAAAAAAAAAAAAGGATATGGACTGAATGAGTCTGAACATAAATATATTAGTATAAATGTATTATTGTGTAAATAAGCTATTGTGATTTAAATATGTTCATTAGACTTCCCTTTAAATGTGTGTATATGCTACAAATATTTATCCCTGGCATCGTGTCTGGAATACTGAAGATACTCAGCAAATTTGAATTTATTTTCTTCTTCCTTTTTCCTTAATACATATACATTTGGTCAAATATCAGATCAGTTTTAAGTGGAGCATTAACAATTCTTTGTAATATCTTGGATATCTTATATGTTTATTTTAAGAGCACAGTGATTTTCAAATCTTGTGAAGGATATAGTTCTGAGATATGGTTATCCAAAGGCCCTATTTGTTGGAAAGTAGAAGAAAAACTTTGAGAAATCCCATCAGTTTTATGCATCAAAGTAACACTGTCATAAACAAACCAAGATATTTATGAAATAATTTTCAAATGAGAAAGATACCATTATTGCATTTTAGCCCCTTTTCTCAACACCATTTCTCCTTTTCCTTGAGTCAATCTTGATACACTGCATTTCTCTCCTGGCATATCCATGTGGCACCCACCATGTGATGAATCACACCCCACGCTAATTACCTACATAATGTTTCGGTGTTGCAAGTTAATTTTTCACATTTGTCTATTAGCATCACAATTGTTAGTTGGTTGCCAGTTTCTTAAGATCTATCAAACAGAAATAAAAATTGCTGATATTTAATCTTGAAGTAAAATTCCTCAGTATTTCCAGAGTATGTGAACTCTCTAAATCAAATTTTATATCAATAAAAAGTATGACAAAACATTTAAAAATTATAAATGCTCAAATTCTCTAGCTAAATGATAACCATATTCCTCCTTTATTCCTTATAAATGTAGTTACTAAAGTGATTGCAATGACATTAATCATCCCATTTTCATAGCACCATTACATTTTTTCATCAGTCAACAACTTTAGTAATCCCTTGACATCAAAGATAATGTCCAGCCCTTATATCACTTATTTGAAGATAACGAAGAATAATTTTTCTCTCTACAAACAAAAAGCGAACTGTAATTCTTATTATTTACTTTTTAAGGATAACTTATACATTGTATATGCCTTGTAATTAAAACTGTTCTTTGCCACAATCCAATCAACCTATTTTGAAAAGATAAATTAAATATGTCTGTTTTAATATCTAGTCTTGAAACATGAAGCTGGATTTGGAGCCATTTGAATTGTAAGGTCTATTTTGTTGTTTTTTCTGTTTCAAAAGCGGTTACATAACACCTAATTGAAACAATCTGTTATATTTCATTTCATTACCAAGCTTGCTCCACAAAATTAAATATACCTTCTGTACTGACTGTAGCACTTTTGTTTCAAATAGATTCTTGTTCATATATGTTGGACATGAGTTTATTTTAAGACATGCAGATTTACCATTTTAAAATTTCTGTTTTCAGCTAAAGAACTTCATGAAGAGCTATGATGGAGTAGCTGCTGCTTCTTTCTCACGAGCTGTGGAAACTGTTGAAGCCAATGTGCGCTGGAAAATGCTTTACCAAGATGAACTTTTCCAGTGGTTAGGAAAAGCTCTGAAACACTAAACGTGTCTCTTATAAACAATTCAACTTAGACTTTTGTGAGAAACCCTTATATGAATTGAGGAAAATAAGTTACAAGGAAAATGGCCAGATTTTTAGTATTAACATGTGGGGGGAATTTTTTAAAACTTTTGTTTTTGTTTTTGTTTGGGGGAATATATTTTGTTTGTTTCATTCATTCTGTTTTGTTTCTTTACTGGGTGTTCTCCTCTAAAAATTTCTGGCAAGTGAAACTAGCCATGATTGATTTGGCTGTACATTCCTTGCTGTACAGGACCAAATATGATCGTGATGCATGTTGATGTTGCAGTCAGTTTGGAAAAAACATATTCAGAATATTCTGTGCATGGATGTATGATCCTGTGTTCCAGCATGCTTTTTTAAAATGTCCAATGTTGTATTTGAGTATATGTTACATTCAGGATGGGCATTATGCAAAAGCACAAAGATTATATATGACAATCAGTGCTGAAATGAAAGAAAAACTCAAAAAGGGAATTATATTCTCAGTCTTGGGCGATGCGAGAGGTAAAATAGCCCTTTAAGTGATCAGCATCACTTATTTCAGCACTTGGATTGTCTGGCAATGATTGCTGTGTTGCTAACTCATTTGCTTTGAGTTAAAGCTGTGTATACATTTAAAAGGCATATAGATAGTGTATGCATACGTATATGTACATAGGGCAGCCCTATATGTATATAATATGTTGTACACTGCACATGTGTGAAGAATCTCTTCAGATCAAAGACAATGTATCTCTTTTTATAAACTTATGGACAGTTGGAAAAGGCTAAAATAACTTATCCTTTCTATTTCTCAATTGTTGAGGGTTTTTCATCTACTTATTGGGTAGTTTGTTCTACTACATGAATATGAATTTAAACAAAATTAGGGTATAAACTCGCCACTCTTCTAATTCTTCTGTCAACCTCGTATATGGATTCTGTCATCATTTTTAGTCAAACTTCCATTTGCATGAAACAATTATGTAAACTTATAATTATTAGTGCTGAAAAAGTGTTTATTTTTGATCTTGTTTTCCCACCTTATGTCGGGTAGTGGAGCAAGTTAAAAATTATCTGTGTTGGTGTTCCTGTCTGTGTTGCTTTTATCTTCCATTAAGCAACCATACCTCAAAGTGGGTCTATTAGCATTTAATGACCTTTTATGCCAGTTGTGCCATCCCTTAAGATGAAAAGTTACTTTTCTTGTGTTAATGTACAAAGCTTGTCTTTTGACACTGACAACTCTGTTCTACCTGGGAATCACAGGTAGCCATTTTCATGGTTTTGTGTTATGTAACACAAATGTTTTTAAAAGGTATTCTCACCCAGTAGGCCAGCTCTCCAAACATTGTTCAGATGCTTTTTAAAAAATGTTTATGTTTATCGTTATAAAATACCAGTACAACTACTACACATAAGCCAAATGTTTGTGAGTTGCTTTCTATTTTCCCAAAGTTTTTCACTCTTCTAGTCTTGCGAATTATTGAACAAATATATTCTAACACTAAAAAATGATTCATTTTAGAAACCAGAGCCATGGAATTATTTTAAATTAGTAGAAAAGAGGAGCAGTTTCCTAATCTAGAGAGTATTACCTAAAATTTAATTTTATCATTGAAGCAATTAATACCTATTATTCACACCTAAATTTTTCAGCACTTCATTTAATTAAAGAACATGAATTTTCAATATTCTATGTGGTGATAATAAGGCATGACAATACTTTGTATAAAACCTAGAGGTTATCCCACTTATCAGAAATGATAAAATCCAATTACCACATGTCACATTTATAAAATTTTTAATGGGTAAGTCCTGAAACATAACAATAATAAATATCACACTGCTGTGCAGGTCCCAAATATGTACTATATCACCATTGAATTCATGTGATGGAGAAGATAAAAAGTAGAGGTGGATGTCTTGTTTTGTGTTATGAATTACTGAAAATTCTTAGTAGTAGTGGTATTTTTTTCTAGTGAAATTACCATTCTAGATTTGAGTTAGAAGGGCTTTTACAGTTCTTTTTTCCTCCCCACTGTTAATAATTTTAATCCTCTTTCAGTATTTTAGTGGCCTTGAGCAACTGGTTTAGCTATAATATCAAATCCTAAGTGTATAATTATGTGCGATGTTCAATACCTCATATAATACTTGTTCAACAGTATAGTAGTATCAATGGCATTGAGATGGCATTTTTGTTCTGTATGTTTTTCAATGATTTATCATTTCCAATGGTGAAATTATATCAGGCTTTAATGTTTTTTTAGTTGTTTAAATAAGTAATATTTTCAGAATAATAAACAATGATATCTCTTGGAATATTCTGTAAAATGTAGTTATAAGATTCTATTTTCTACTTAGAGTTTTTATCTTTTCTCTCTTCTTTGTCTGTTTTATAAATCATATATATGCATGAAATAGCAAATTGTTGAACGTGTCCAACATCAAGTCTTAAAAATTTACTGTGCCAATATATGTACAAAAAACTTGCTTTAAATTAGAATGGACTAAATATTCATCACACTGGGTATTAAATATCTCCAGATAACTTGTAAATAAAGAGATGTTCCCATTTTTACACACTTTTTCTTAAAATTTTCTTATAATCTTTGAAGTTTTTAAAATATACAATCTTAACCTCTAAGGCTAATATCTGCAATGCTAGATCTGTTCTTGAGTTTCAATAACATGTATTTTAGCTGGGCCTTAAACTCACATTGATTTATATGATTTCCAGGAAAATTATATCACAGGACTAAAATGTTTGTGACAGTATAATTTACAAATATTATAACTTGAAAATATTATAAAATAGTACAAGATTATTACAGTTATGCCATGTATTGATAAAACACATTACTTTTTCAAAGAACTTTTGCACACGATATTTCATTGGACTCCTCCCAAAAACATAGTGCATTTTGTTAGCCCTAATATTCAGATAAGAAAATTGAGGCTCAAAGTAGGAACACAAGCTATCTAAAATTATGTAGTTGCTATTTGACAACAGATATAGTAACCTAAGTCTCTCAATACAGCCTTTCTACAACTGAAATATCATATATGTTCAAAATATCTCTATCCATTGCATTAATTAGGGATTTTCTAAATACTAGACAAGCATCAAAATACATTATTAAATATATCTACAATAATTACATTATTTTAAAATTTATGCGTTTCTAATTTGCCTGATGTCAAACAACTGGATGAAAATGTCAGGATTTACTTTGGTCAGTATAAATAGTCAAATATTAAAACAAATAATTTAGTTCACTAGTTTATTGATTATAAATTTCTTTCTATACCTTTTATTGAACAATGTTTAAATACAACTTAAGATTCTGATAATTTTCTTTACTTTCAACATAAGTTTCTCTGATAAATTATATCTGTAGTAACAAAGGATCAGAATGCAGGCAAAATTGTATCCATCTCAAACAGTGAAAATAATATTTGGCAAAATGTTTATATTTTTATGCAGAGTATGTTGTAAAAAAATGTTTTGTGCAATTAGAGTACTACTGGATTACATGCAGTAAAGGGATCTCTAGAGAAATTTACTACAATAAACGTAATTATTTTCTAGGACGTTGGCAAACCTAAAATAGCATAATAATTTTCTTGAGTACTCCTATGAGGTAATCATAGTCACCTAGTAAAGAAGTAAAAAGCACATATAATGAGAAATTAAGACTTCCATCCCTATTTTTTCCTTCAACAGAGATCATAGCTGAATTATCATTTGATACTGCTAATTATATATTGATAGAATTCAATTAAATAAATATTTATTGAGTACCTTTTATTTCTCAAGGCACTTAGTGAGGAAAAGGAAGACAGAGATGTATAAGGCCTGAGGGAATTCACATTATGATAAATAAACTAAAAAAATAAATAGTGGACCAGTCAGAATAACAGCAACATAAAAATAATTACATGCCACAGAAGAGGAAGCAAATCATTTTTAGTTATGGATGATATTATGAAACTATTTTCTTACACTACTTCTTAAAATCTTCATGGCACATAGTATAATTTTCATGGTTTTATTTCACAGTACTTAGTTGTATTTTACAGAAATATGTAACATTTTGAAATCATAATAAAAATCACATAGTTTAAACAGTAATATTTGAAATATAAATTGGGATAGAATTTTTCCTTAAGAAAAACTGTTTGAGCAATTTAGTAGTATCAGTTAGTTGCAGGAAGAATATTTAATCTACTATGTAAAAGTAGTTCAAGTTTTTCTAAAATTGTTTTAGCATATTATTTGCATATTCACAATGTATTAATTTTAAGGTAATTGTATATTCTTTAAAGCATATTCAACAACTCTTATCCTAGGCCATAATTTATTTGTTCAAATTTGTATATGCAAACTTGAGGGCAATATTGTTCTTGTAAATTATTCTAGAATTCTAAATTTTAATTATATAAAAGAATAGCCTTCAGTTCAATTGCTTTGAATTAATAAGGAAGTTTTTAAAATAAAATATTTTGTTCAATGTGATATAGATTCAGGAAAAGTCTGACAAAAAATGTACTCTAGTGCTTTTTTTATTTTATGAAATTTTATTTTGAAATTTAGATAACTGTCTTAAATATTTAATAAAAGCACCTGTTAAAATTGTATGTTCTAATGTTAAGTATTCATGCATTTACCTTTTTAATCCGTTTTTTGTTTCTGTTTTGTTTTATAAACTAACCCTACTTGTAGATAGCATGATTTTACTCTAGATTTTGAAAACATGGCACTTCAATGGCTTTTATTTTGAATATTCAGTGCTTTAAGGATAGTACTCTGAAGCTGTTTGTCTTTTGGATATTCCTAGTTCATGTACGGTGCACTAAGAAAAAAGAAAAGGCTGGGCTATGTGGCTCAGCCTGTAATCCCAGCACTTCGGGAAGTTGAGGCGAGTGGACTGCCTGAGTCTGCGGGTTCATCGGCCCGGGCAATTAGGCGAGACCTCCTCCCTACAATAAATCAAAAATTAGACCAGCATGGTAGCATGCCCCTGTAGTCCCAGCTACTTGGAAGACTGAGGCGGAAGTATCGCCAGAGCCCAGCAAGTCAACGCTGGGGTGGCCTTGAGCATGTGCCACTGCACTCCAGCCTGGGCAATGGAGTGAGACTCCAACTCAAAAAAGAAAAAAAAAAAAGATTCTTCATTTTGTTCTGAATTCGGTGTGTGTGTGTGTGTGTGTGTGTGTGTGTGTGTGTGTGTGTGTGTGTGCTGTTTTAACATTAAATGAATTAGATTGTAAGGAAGGAATAAAAATTTGAGTGTCTACTAAATATCAAGCACTTTGTAGGTATTATCTCATTTAATAACCCTGTGAGATTTCACTAGATCTAATTTACCGGAGTAGACTGAGTCTGAGTTGTTATCAGTTTGCATAATTAATTAGTGGTATTAGTTGGGTTTCAAAATTCTGCAAACCTAAGGTTTATATGGCTCAAAGTAGTCATTAATCTGCCTCCTGCATGCATGAAAACATAATTTTATCTATATAGACTGGTATCTATAGGAGAATTTAATAGACAATAATATCTCACTTCATCATTATCATTGGCTGGTTGGAAAGAGGTATAAGTTAGTGTATTCTGGATTACTACTCATCTCTTAATGAGGTTACTTCATACATTCTATAAAATGTTTTCATCAAAACATCTTACATTACTGTGTTGTTTAGTGGGTTTTAAGCAACAGGTAATTAACACATACTCCAGCCAATGAGCCATGAAAAAATAAGTGAAAAGAGAGAATGGACTGCGAAACTCTTCAGTGGATCACAAAGATGAGGTTCAACCTCTGTCTTTGCACCAGAAGCATACGTATTAGTCTAGCCAGAAACTTCTGTCTGCCTAGCAGTTAGGTCAGAGAAGTAGCTCTTTCTTTCTGCTTAAAACTACAATGGACTGCAACTGCTTAATTTTCTTGAAGTTACATTTTTCAATGGGCCTGCTGTGTGTAGATATAGTCTAGGATAAGTGCTTTGACTTGCCTGTGCACAGGTCAACTTGCTTCTAATCACACACATTTTTCTTATGTCATGTAAGTAAATGAAAGAGTGAAATGTTTTATAGAAAATATTATAGTGAAGTTAGGAACATCTGCCTTGAATGTGCAGTGCATTTATTTTTAGAGTTAATTATTTAGTAGCTATTCTCTTAAGCCTTGCTAAGTTCATGGTATTGTACTTGCTCTTGTACACAATTATGTTCCCACCTTTATATGACCTACTGTGTGAGAACATTCATTTTTAAGTTTTTGTTATTCATTTTCACTTAAAATAGGTTTATTAACTGCTATTTTTCAAATACAAAACATTTTTTCAAATGAATTTCTCCTCAAATTTGTAGTCTAACTTTTGAGATACTGTATAACAGCAATTTCACAGTATCCTTTAAAATGCTACCTCTACATTGCCATATATAAAGATATTTTTTGTTGTACAGTGTTATATTTTAATCTCTTTGAATTTTAAAAACAGATCAGAACTACAAAATTAAAGCAGATTAGGACTACAAAGTTTATTCATTGTCCAGTTACTTGAATAATAAAGAATTCTTCCTTTTAGCTTTCGTAATTGGCTTTCTAGACACCACTGGATTTATCAGATAATCTTTTAAAAATATTATATGAACTAATCTTAATGAACTCGAATGTACTTATTAACACAGCTTAACTTCCTAAAGTAATTTCCCAAATGAACAGACTTATTTAAGCTATGTTAAATAAAAGTATAACTTTTCCTAATATTTTATGATTTAAGAATAAAAAGGTAACTGTTATTTTAGTAAATACAAGTTACTAAAGCATTTACCAAATAAATAACATTGTGTTAGTTTAGCAGATAAATGTTTTCTATGATATGCCTTTGAAATTATTCAGTAAAAATTGAATCAGTATGTACTCAACATGAAATTTTTATTCCATTCTGACCAAGCACAAACAAAATGGATTTTTCTAAATGAGAAAATTTCTCTTCTGTATTTTAAGCAGAATAAATTTGAATTTTGCCTCTGATAATAAAAGTTTGTACAGTAATGTGTAATTCATCACTGTTTTAATTTTCTGACATGTGTAGATAAGGCCAAAATAAATAATACCTTTTATTAATGCTTCTGTTTTCACTTGAGAATCCATTTTTTAAAAATCTAAGTATATATACTGTAGAGATTCATGAAAAAAGAAAAAATTACTATTCTGTCATGGGCTTTTTCAAAACTATACACATGCTGTAGCTAGGATAAAAGAAGTGTGTATTTGTGCTATATTGTAAAAATAAAAAATAGCAATTCGATCTCCTTTCTAATTATATGCCTTTAGAATAAATGAAATGATATGCACTTTGGAAAAAGTGATTTCACCTGAAATGCATTTCAGATTGCTTTTTAATAAGTTTTCTGCATTTGACAAACTGTCAGGCTCTGAATTTCAAGTACAGTTTTCAATAACAGTGCTATAAAATATATATAATCATGGCTCATCGGTAGTAATCAAAATATATTTTCAATTCTCTGGGTTTTTCTACTTCTAAGAATTGGGCAGAAAACATTAGAACTTGAC